TTCATGCTTCAGAGCCTTAATGTGATCAGCTAAAAATTATCAATTAGAAAACACACCAATAATTCAAAAGTCCTGACTTTATACATCAATCTATATAAAAAGTTCCTCAAGTGCACAAGAATAATGAAACTGATGATGAATGTGCAGAAACTTTTAATCATCTTTCTGGCTTTCACGTTGAAAAGATGTTTTCTAAATTAGTCTTGGTCTTTTCAAACGCAAGGAGATCATGGGGACATTTCGATGGCTGTGGTCCAATGCGAATAAGATGCTAATGTGGCCTCAAAATGTTTCAAACAGACATTCATTTACTGAATAACTGAACACATATATTACTGAATTTCCCTTTTGGATTAATAAAGTATGGATTTAATTTTCAATCAATTTAATAAACTTAATATCTTTAGTTGAAAGTAGGTAATATCTCTTAAACACTGCACAATAATCAGTGAGAGTTAAAAGTATGTCTTTGGGTGGTGGCTGCTGCTCTCTGAAAAAGGGGATGCTCAGTGGTGTTAATTAATTTCAAAATGTCACTTATTACATTAAGAAATAAAACACATTACTACAGCAGGTGAAAAAAGCTGTTGTGACACGTTCTGAAATAATAAAGGAACCACGGCAAGAGTATTGATCAAAACGACTGTTCTAGCAGAATGATGACTATTACGTCTCAACTCATGAAGAAAACCTCCTCGCTTTCTGGGCACAGACTGTCAGTCAAAAATTCTTAAGTATGAGCATGGAGCATCCAGTTTCACAGCCCGCCCCTGCTCCATAGGGTTTGGTCATCATGACGTAAGCACTTTGCGTCGCCGCCACCTTGAATGCCTCTTTTACCACTGCTCATACTACTGCCTATGACTACTGCGTACTGTACTCCTTCTCAGCCGTGTTTTAATTTGATTAATTTCACCTTAACTTGATTTCAACCATGGTAAACTGTTGCTGTATTGTGGGTAGTAACAGCTCAACACGTGATCGCCATGGGAAAAACATAGAAAATGAGTTAAATTTCCACCGCTTTCCTGCCTGGAGGCGTAACCATGGAGACCAAGTGTCAGAGATAAAGAGTCGTCGGCTAGCTTGGATACCGGCTGTAAGACGACCGAACATAACTTTCCACAGTATCCCGATGTCAATGAGAGTGTGTTCCCTGCATTTTCATTCTGGTAAGTTAAAGATGCACGGTTTTATTTTATAGCCTACTTTGTTTCTTTCCTTCAAAGTTGGGACCTTTTACGGGAAAATAATAAAAATGGCAGCGGGAAAAGGCTCAAATACATGAGAAACCCGGAGGGTTTGGGGAGGGTTGGCAGCTAACGTTACTAACTACACCTTTGAAACACATAGCAGCTAGTTAAAAGTACATTACTTGCATGAGTGGTTGTTAGCATTAGCGGTTAGCAGTTGCTAAACTAGCAGGTTCCAGAGCCCGTCTGAGCACAGCTTACCTTCGTACGGATTACTGTGTTCCCACTGTTTGCTGGCTTTATGATGTGCAGCTCCTGAACCCATCCATTCATGAACTGCACATGAGACTCCAAGGACTTGTAGCTTCGGAACTGTTTTGAAGTATAGGCGCTTACTCATCGGTGCTCCACTCATTGTTTGGAACTTCATATGGATCCAAATTTTTAATAATGCTGATTTTGTCAACATACCGGTCCGTGGCTTCTCTATTTAATGTGTCCTGGTAAATTCCAGATCCTTTTCGGGATTTTAACATCTTTTTTTTCTCTCACAACGTTGTGTCGGAGCTGTGCTTTCGGAGCGATGCTACCAGAGCTACGGTATAAGAGCTATGCTATCGGAGCTATGCTATCAGAGCATAGCATTCAACATGGCCGCCACGTCCCACAATGCAACGCGGATCCCGAGTCCTATAGACCCGGCCTACCTGGACTGGGTCCTTCGGAGGCATGAAAATAAGGCGGGTAGAAGAGTTTGGCTATAAAGACAAACACGTCCAGCCTTCTCCGGTTGTCACCACTCAACACTTAGCTTAAGCTCTGTTGCCTAGCAACTGTGACAGTTGACTTACAAGCAGGCAAAGAATTGATGCCGAACTTCTTCATCATCTACCTGCTTAGCATGTTTTCGTACCATGTCATTACAGCTGATTGTTGCCGATGAAGCGCTTTCAGAGGGTGTTGGCTGATCAGCAGAGCTTTACTGTAGGCAGTGAAATTAAAAACGCTTGGAGCAGCTCCAGGATTTAACCAGCTGTCCAATGCAATGCTAGCCAACCAGACTCAAAAGTATTCTGCTTTACATAATCTCCACAACCGGTGTTCTATCGGGTTCAAGTCAGAACCCAGGCTCCAAAACTGCCTCTTCTTGCCTTACTACAGACCGAGTCATATGGCAAATGGATCAAAAGTATAAGCAATGTGATTTAGATGCTTGAGTGCCTTTCAGCTTCGTCTTCTATCATATAAAATCTCTTAAATGTTTTCCTAAGTGTTTCATGGTTGTGATTAGGGGGTGATTGACATGGGTGTTGTGTACCACAAGTGTCATGATACTTGGGTCATGATACGATATCACCATATTGCGATATCACCATATATTACCATATTTTTACTGCTGTCCTAATTGAATATATAGATAAAAAGCAACTCCGTGTCATGATCTTGGCGCTGATGGTTTGTTTTTTTTCCTTTGCTCCTTGCTCAACTGTCTAATTGGTTCTGCAGCTGATTATCGCCGATCATTTCCACCTGGTTCCTCTACTATTGAAGTTGTGTGTTTGCCTCCCATCAGCGCCAGGTTATTCGTGTGTTTTGGTGAGACGTTTCCTAGCTTTCTTTAGTCTGTCTGTTTCCCTGATTATGACCAGTTTTCTGCCCTGTGGATCTCGAGTTTTGCCTTGCCCCTGTCTTCTCTGTTTGTCGCATCTACTTTTGGATTCTACCGGCTTCTGAACCTGGAACTGTCTCCTGACTTCGGCCTTGGATTTCCCTTCTGGACTCTGTTGCTGCTCGGCGTCGGCTGGTGCCCGCACCGCTCACTCTCTAGGAACTCTGGTGCGTCACCCGCCGCAACTGCGGTCAAACCTCCCTCCTGGATTCAGCTGTGTTCTCCGCGAACGGACTGAACTTTGAATCAGGTCAGTGACTAGCTCCAAGTCGTATTCAGCTCCACATCCAGTCACTGACCTGTATTCTCCTGTCTCTGCAGGGATCCGCCCCGCAGCAGACGAGCAGCCCCGTGCACCTGTTTGTTAAATAAATGCTTTGAATTCTGGGTCCAACATTCTAAGATCGTTACACTGTATATGTTCATCAGATGATATTGATTATTTAGTTATTTTGGTATCCATGTTACCAGCACCCCTCGCGACCCCACTTGGGACAAGCGTGTAAAGAAAATGGATGGATGGATGGATGGATGGTATCCATGTTTTTTTGGGGTTTGAGTCAGTCCACGTCTTCCACTGTGACTGCCTCAACTACAGATAAGGGCTCCACAGCACTATCTGCCAGTGTCGGTACAAAGGTAGCCCATAATAAATAATAGGAACTTAAGATCTATATTAGATCAGGCAGCCAAAAATCACCATATATTGCTATAGCTATTTCTTTCCACACCCCTAGTAGTGATTTATCGTTCATATTATCAATGTACTTAACTGATAACTGAAGCATCTACCAACCCCATGATGTCACCACTTAGAGTGCTGTAACATGGCGGTGACCTTGCCAAAAAAAAACTATAAAACAACGCTTCCATTTTCTCTTATGTTTATATTTTCATATGTTTCTATAATTATTGATAATGGTAAGACACAACCTTATGAATTGAGTTAGTTAATATGTCACTGGAAGTGACATATTTAGTTGTGTTATCCAATCAGGGCTTTACTTTTTCGCTGCTTGCCTCATTAGACCAAGGCTCAAACCTCAACAGGGATTTCTCATAGAGGCTGACTGGCAGGTGAGATCGCGTCCGAGAGCGGGCTCAATAGCAAAATAACGTGCAATATACTCATGAAATTAGATACATTTTACGCATATTAAATGCTTCCCTAGTATTCAATGAGAAATTGCCACTGGCGTAGATGCTGGTGTAGATACTATCTTTGATGCATTGTGGTATGAAATGGTAGCCTGACGTAGTCCTACTCAATTCTAGTCAGAATATGAGTCTGATACTGTTCCATAGAGCTGTGATTATGGTGCGTGTTTCGAATGAACCAGGAAAAAAAATGCCTCTGCACTCAATTGGATAGACCTACAACCAATAAGAGCAACGGAGTGCGTGACGTATGTTAAGCGACCAAGGGAGCCAGCTGATAAATTAAACTTTTGCCGAATCCCATAGGAAGGACGCCAAAAACATCTTTCTTTTCAACAAATGTCTTGATCGCGTTTCTCTGTTCCTCTTTTAAAATTAATTTGCTGTCGATATATTCTAGAACAGACCTAATAGCAGAATCTACACACCTCAACTCTCCAGCGGCAGCCATTGTTGTTGTCACCCAAGCGCGCTTTGGTGACGTGGTTGATTACGTTACTGTTGATCATCTGTCCATCATCGTAGAAAGCCCGCCCTGACAATTTGATTGGCCCGACCCGATATTGTGCGAGCATACTCGCGCTACTATTGAGCAATGCCAGACCGGACTTCCCGACCTCAAATGTTGTGGGCGGGACTAAGTTCGGAATGGCACCCCGGCTAATGAAATGGTGGTTTGGGGGAGTGGTGGCCTAGTTGTTAGGTCATAATGGCAGCCGCACAATGGCAGCCCACTGCTCCCGGAGGGGATGGGTTAAATGCAGAGGTAAATTTTTCCAATGTGACATCAATAAAGTTCAATTATTAAAATGTACACCACCATAAATCACATACTTAATATTCATGGCTAACACTTGCTTTTAAGCAGCATAAATCCTGCATTGAGTTGACATCTGATTGTTTCTGTTCAGCTGTTAGTGTGGTTTTTGGTGGCATTGTTGGTTTCACAAATCATAGTTGGGAAGTGGACGTCAGCTGACCTGCACTGAGCTCCAGCAGCACCCTCCCTTCTTTCTGGATCTGCATGTAGAGTCTCGCTTCATTCAAAAACAACCAGACCACACCTCCTTGCCCAGGAAGGTCAAAAGTGAGCAGAAGCCCAGCGTTATTCCACGTCCTAAACTGAAACCCAATGGACGCACTCCCTGAGGAGGACGAAGCTGTCCACGGCAACTGGAGGAAGCTCTGGGGCCCGGGAAACGTCACAGCAGCAGAAACTGGCTCAGCACAAGAAAAGGTCACATTGCCCTGAGAAAGAAAAAAAAAACATGCAGAGGAAAAGGAGAGACGATAAGTGATGGGACTAAATGATTACTGGAGAGATAAAACATCAAATTACATGAATATTAATTGGCTGCAGAGGCCATGTTGATGTGGCCTCCTGTCACAGTGCTCTCATCAGCAAGTCTCCTTAAGAAGAACAACGGTATTTCCATATTGATAACAGCGTAGCTTGGGATAAGATTAGAATGCATGCTTAAAATACCAAAGTCACCTCCTGTAAAGGTAACGTAGATAAAGATTTGTAGATAAAAGAATAGAGAACCCGGCAGTATCTGATGTGGTGCGCTCTATTGTTTCAAGTAAAGATGATGAAATAGAGTCCATTGCTCTGGCTTTATTAAACGATAATGGTGCCATGTCTGCAGCGGGATTTTATCCCAGTAGCTGGTGCTGTCCACTGGAAATACTGATCCCTTTTAAAATCTCTGTGTGGCTCACTTATCATAAAATTTTACCTTATTTGGCTCATAAAACAGTTACAGAACTGACAAGATATAGAATTTCTCCCACATCTAACTTTATCTTGTCAATGAACTTCCTCCCCTACAAAACATTAGGAGAAACCTTACAGTATTTGTAGTAAATGCCACCAAAACTTTTCTGACAGAGCCTTTTAGAGCGACAGATTTCCTATAAGACCTGACTTTATCATCTAAACTTGTCTATTCAGAGTTTTTCCTCTGCAGTCTGTAATGTTACCTTGTGTATTTATTATCATATATTAGTCTTTATACTTCCTTCCCAAAATGTAATGCCTCTTTGCATTTCCTTAAAAACATTTAAAAAGTTGCTGAAACTAAATTAAAGTAAAACTTTATCTCAATTAATGAAAATATACTTTGTTTTTCTCTCTCTCCACTGTTCTTAATGTTTTTGTTTCTTCACTATTTTGCTTGTGAAGAAATGTCCATAAAAAGTCATGTCATTGTACCTGGATTGAGATAAAGCTACTCTCTATATAAAGGAAGAAAATGAACAAAGCACACTGGAAAAAATTGAAATCTAGATAAGTCATGTTTTCGTAAAATAAGTACATTTGTTCTTGAATTGAGGAGGTAAAATAGACATTTTGCCAATGGAACAAGAACATGTATATTTAGAATAAGAAAAACACAATTACATTGTCTTTTTTCAAGTGCATATTATCTAATAATCTCATTTTAAGAGTAAAAATACTCATTCCATTGGCACACTATCTCATTTACCTACTTAAAATAAAGATAAATACACTTAATTTAAGAAATGTTTTACTTATTCTAGATATTTTTTGCAGTGCAAACAGGGAATCATGTTAATTCTAATCCAAAAATGACAAAAACATGGTTATAACATGGGCTGCACTTTGACGCAGTGCGTAGAGCTGTTGCCTTGCAGCAAGAAGGTTCAAAGTTCAACACTGGAAAAAAACAAAATCTAGATAAGTCATTTTTTCTTAAAATACATGCATTTGTTCTTTAATTGAGGAGATAAAAGAGACACTTTGCCAATGGAACAAGACAATTTAAATTTAAAATAAGAAAACACAATTGCATTGTCTTATTTCAAGTACATGTTATCGAATTATCTTATGTTAAGAGTAAAAAAGTAATTCCATTGGCAAATCATCTTATTTAACCACTCAAATTAAGGATGCACTTCATTTAAGACATATTTTACTCATGTTTAGATTGTTTTTGCATTGAATTCCAAGCCCCGGGTCTTTCTGCATGGAGTTTGCATGGGTTCTCCCCGGGTACTCCTGCTTCCTCCCACTGTCCAAAAACATGACTGTTGGATTAATTAGCTTCTCTAAATTCTCCTTAGGTGTGAGTGTGTGCGTGAATGGTTGTTTGTCTCTGTGTTGCCCTGCGATGGACTGGTGACCTGTCCAGGGTGGGCCCTGCCTCAAACCCATTGACTGCTGTAGATAGGCACCCATCACAATCCCAGGTGGGGCAAATATGACGGAAAATGGATTGATGTATATAACACAAACCTGATCAGTTCTTTACTGTGAAAAAATATTAATAAAAATTATGAAACTACTTTGTAGGCAATCCGTCCCCTTTTTTTAATACTATAAGCAGGGTTGTAACATTAAAGTCTTCCCTGTTGGAAGTTTGGACGACGTTTAAAGTACTGTAGACCATTGAGCAAAGCCTGACTAAATACTTCTTAAGTGGAAGCCCAGGTGTTTAACAACTTACCACAAGAGAAACTTTGTGATCCTGAAGTTTAGTAAGTTGTATCAAGTTGAGTCCATTGAACAGCAAGTTCTCCAGGCAGCCATGGAAACTCTTCTTGGAGCGAAATAGTTTATGAGAGCTCATAACCTCAACCGTACCCACACTTAACTGTATGGAAAAAATACCCAAAGACAGATTATTATTAGTGTCAGTTACTTCATCATTTATACTAACTCAGAGCTAAGGAAGTGGTTTTAGTTCATCAAACCTCTTCTATGTCAAGGTGGTGGAACTTTAGAGGGATTTTGACCCCCAATGTGTGCTTGTCCACAGTGAGGTTGAGGTTCTGGCCATGTAGCTCCACTGCCACATAGTGCCATTGCTGATCATCTAAAAGACTCGCAAGAGATGCAAGTTGCTGAAGTTTTGCAGATGAAGCTTTGCCTAGAAAAAGGAAACAAACAAAATAAAGCTAAAATGTTTAAGTTTCCATTGCTGAAAAAGTTTATTTCCTGCTTTGAATGTTTTGATTCAGTTCACACCAAAGGGAGGATCCCAGCGAGGTCACCTAGTCTCTCAGAGGGGATATCTGTATACGCCTTTATACCAGCAGTGGAAAATAAGAAGCCAAATGTGTTATGATGCCTAATTTGAAAGACTACAGAGGAGATGCTTCATTAATCATAGATGAGCACCATCAGACCTGAATTAGCGGATGCATAGTGGAATCCCCCAAAGAACTGAAAAGAAAAACATGTTTTTGATGAAAAATCGAAGAATATAAAGAGCTGAACACAATATGGTGCTAGATATTAGTGAGGCAAAAGTTTAAACTTCAGATAAGAAAGAATTATTTGAATGTGAGGAAAAAGAAACATTAAGAGTTAAAAGATGAAGTAAGCAACTTCACCTACATGGAACAAAAAGCATTAGAAACTTTAATTTATCAGAGAAAAAAGTAACGACTCACTCAATAACACAATAGTACAGCATGAAAACAAATTAGATTTCTAAAGTTGCATTGATTAACTGAATAGCTATTAGATTGTAGGGGGTAGGGGGATAAGGATGAGGATGGTGTGTCTCCAGAGGGAGGATTTCATAACAACATGAATAATTGAAAAGTAAAAGAATCAATACAAGAGTGAAAACATAGAGAATGAGTTGATATTCAGTAATGAAGTATTCTCTGTCTTTGCTCTTAGATATTACAGTTATTTCCTCCTCTGTAGCGCCACCCATCAGTTACTGAACGCTCTGCAAGTGTAAAACAAATACCCATTTATTTTGTGCATCAATAAATTGAAAAATATCTACACCTCTTTAATTTTAACACTTATTTTATGAAATACCAAGATAAAATAGTGCATTAATGTTATTTGGAAGGAAATTGATAAGAATAATAAATATGTATGATGATATCAATTATTATGAAACATTTCTATGACTTTTTTCTGCTTTCTCTTCAGCTATTAAAATGTCCCTATCCCTTCATGTAAACTTCGGCATTAATGAGTATTAAATTGGCATTGAATGCTCTAAGAATAACTATAACATTTGTTGAATGTATCACTGGCATGCAGAATTTCAAATAAACTACTTCAAATATGATCTCGTGGTTACAAGAAAAAATTATTTTCTTCTTTTATATACAGTAAGATAAAGAGTGGCATATTGATATTCAGTTTTTGGGAGGAATTGTGGATGTGTGATTTTTTTTTTCTGGAATCCTGACAGCATTATGAGGCAACCACCAACTGTCAGGTTTCCAGAGCTGGGTGGAGTGGCTGTATGTCTTTTCCCTTTTTTCTCTCCCAGGGTGGCAGGCTAATTGAGTCCAGCTGGGTTCCATTCCCTCAATCAGTGGTTGCCTTTAAGAAGGAGCAGTCTCCCTCAAGCAGACGGTTGATGTACTCAGAGTGGTAACAAGCCAACTTAAGAGAAATCTCAGCATTGTGTTTTTTCCCTCCTGTTGGATCTTCTCTGTTTAAGACCATATTGTCTTTCTCTGCTTCAGGATCCCTTCTGGCAAAGACTGTTGTTGGATCCACCTCCCCCAAGGCTGCTGTTCGGCTCCTTCCTCAGGCTCACCAACTTGGCCTTCAGAACCCCTGGCTCAAACCTGTCCACCCTCATCTCCTAACAAACTGAAAGACCAGTGTCTCCACTCCCAACCTCCAACATCTACCAACCAGCAAGACCGGGCTTCATGGACTCATACTCAGTGTAAGCTGACTTAAACTGCTTAAAACAATCTTTCTTAATCCATTCATCCCCTTTAAACAACTTGTGTTCCCTTCCAGTGCCTGCTCCCAGCCCCCGCTCCCTCAGCTTTTTCCAGACTCAGTTGTCATCACATTTTCCTGAAAATAAACTGTTTAAATCTGCTTCTTTCTGTGCTTGTGCCTACTTAAGAGTCCAAGAGCTAGCACTATGACAGAACCATCTGCCCAAGCGGACTCTGGGGCACAGCTACGTACTGCTCTAACTGAACAGGGAATACTCCTTGGAAAACATGAAGATGTTATTCAAACTATGCTCCAGCAACAAGGTTCCATGTTCCAGTGTCTCAATCAACTCTCCAATCAGATCCAGGATCTCACCAACCAGCTGCAGTCTACTAATCTCTCCTCTCGTTCTTCCTCAGTAACTGCCCCTGCCGCTGCTGTTGCTTCTGCTGTGTCTTCATACCGTGATGTCACCTTGCCCACTCCAGAACACTACTCCGGTGAGCTGGGTAAGTGCAAGGGTTTCCTGCTGCAGTGCAACCTGGTTTTCCACCGATCTCCCCGATCCTTCCCCGAAGATGCCCATAAGATCTCATATGTCATTGGGTTGTTAAAGGACAAGGCATTAAGGTGGGCCGAAGCCACAATTAATGAAAGAACACTGCCTCGCTACTCCTTTGAGGAGTTTATTAACCTTTTTAAACAGACATTTAGTCCAAATCTAAGCGAAGAAGACTCAGCAAGGAGAATCTGGAATCTAAAACAGGGCAATAGATCAGTAGCTGAACTGGCAATAGACTTTCGCATCCTTGCTGCTGACTCTGGCTGGAATGACATAGCCCTTAAAGGGGCCTTTCAGCATGCTTTAAATGGCACACTGAAGGATGAGTTGGCTTGTCGAGATGATCCCCAGTCCTTAGATGAGTTGATAGATTTGGCTATTAAGATTGATAATCGAATTCGTGAGAGGTCCAAAGACAAAAGAGCTCCTTTTGTCCTCTCTTCTACTGAAAAGACATCTCAAAGACCAGAAATCCAACCTTCCTCATACCTTCCACCCCCTGAGCCGATGCAGGTTGGTCGTGCTAAGTTAAGTCTGGAAGAAAGACAGCGTCGAATTAGCTCTGGCTGCTGCCTCTATTGTGGTTCTCCCCAGCATTTCATTTCCTCCTGTCCAGTCCGCCCAAAAGAGCCAGCCCGCCAGTAAGATTGGGAGTACTGGCGGGCATTTCCAAAGAGCATGACCTAAGGCTTAATCTCCCTGCTGTTCTCGAAATCAATAAAGGTCAACACAAGTTTCAAGCTCTGGTAGATTCTGGCTCAGAGCAGAATCTCATTCACCCGGATCTAATTTCCAAATGCCAAATTCCTGTTCAGCAATTGTCTTCACCTATTTTGGTCAATGCTCTTGATGGTAGCCCTATGACCTCCATCACTCACCAAACGGCCTGGATTTCTCTGTTGGTTTCTGGGAATCATTATGAGCTCATCCAGTTCCTAATTTTTCCAACCAAGGACTCCCCTATTGTTTTGGGCTTTCCTTGGTTAAAGAAACATAACCCCCACATCAACTGGTGTCACTCATGTATAGATTCGTGGAGCACATACTGTTCAGGCCATTGCCTTCAGTCTGCTCCTTCGCCTCTTCCCTCTCCCCAGATTAATCCTATCAACCCTCCTGACCTCTTTAATGTCCCAGAACAGTATCATGACCTCAGTGAGGTTTTTAGCAAAGACCTTGCTCTCTCCCTTCCACCTCATCGCCCCTATGATTGTGGCATTGATCTCCTCCCTGGGGCTCCCCTTCCTTCGGGTCGCCTATACAATCTCTCAAAGAAAGAGCAAGAGGCTATGGAGAAATATATCAATGACTCCCTAAATGCCGGCATCATCCGCTCTTCCTCTTCTCCCGTAGGAGCTGGCTTTTTCTTTGTGGAGAAAAAGGATAAAACCCTTCGTCCCTGCATTGACTACCGGGGTTTAAACCAAATTACCATAAAAAACAAGTACTCCCTTCCTCTTCTGTCATCTGTTTTTCAGTCGGTTCACAATGCTACCATCTTCTCTAAACTCGATCTAAGAAATGCCTATCATTTGGTTCGGATCCGTGAGGGGGATGAGTGGAAAACCGCATTTAAAACACACATTGGTCACTTTGAATACTTAGTGATGCCATTCGGTCTCTGTAATGCCCCTGCCATTTTCCAAAACCTCATCAATGATGTCCTAAGAGATTTTCTCAATGTTTTTGTTTTCGTCTATATAGACGATATCCTCATCTTTTCCCACAGCCTAGAGGAACACAAGGTTCATGTCAGGAAGGTTCTCCAAAGACTCTTAGAAAATAGACTTTTTGTCAAGGCTGAGAAGAGTCAGTTTCATGTGAACACTATAACTTTTCTGGGTTATGTCTTCGAGGGTGGACAGGTGCGGACTGACCCAAGCAAGATCCAAGCTGTAGAGGAGTGGCCCATCCCAGTCACGAGGAAGCAGCTTCAACGCTTCCTGGGATTCGCAAACTTTTACAGACGCTTCATTAAGGACTTCAGTATCATCACTGCACCTCTAACTGCTCTGACGTCTCCCAAAAGACCTTTTCTCTGGACCCAAGAGGCAGACATGGCCTTCTCCAAGCTCAAAGCAAGGTTTGTTAATGCCCCGGTTCTAATCCACCCAGATCCAGCTATTCAGTTCACCCTGGAGGTAGACGCTTCCAATGTGGGAGTGGGGGCCGTTCTCTCTCAAAGGTCTCCCAGTGATCACAAGCTCCATCCATGTGCTTTCTTTTCTAAGAAATTCACCCCCACAGAGATTAACTACGACATTGGTGACCGGGAGCTCCTAGCTATCAAGTTAGCCCTGGAGGAGTGGAGACACTGGCTCGAAGGGACGGAACTTCCAGTCATCATTTGGACAGACCACAAGATCCTCGCCTACCTCCAGACTGCTAAGCGCCTGAACCCACGGCAGTACCGTTGGTCTCTTTTCTTTTCTCGATTCAACCTCACCATTACCTACCGTCCTGGTTCTAAGAACATGAAACCTGATGCCCTTTCGAGACAATACTCTTCTGATGACCACCCAGAAACTACTATTCCCATTCTGCCAGCCACCTGTTCCATAGGGTCTCTCACTTGGGACTTAGAAAGAGCTATTCAAGAGGCCCTAGCTTCTGAACCAGACCCTGGAGGTGGACCCAGGAACCGTCTATATGTTCCCATGTCTGTCCGGTCCAAGACCATCAACTGGGCTCATTCATCCTCCTTCTCCTGCCACCCAGGGGTTAGCAGAACCGTGGCCCTTTTACGGCGATATTTCTGGTGGCCTTCCCTCAACAAGGATGTAATGGAATACGTCTCTGCTTGCACCATCTGCGCCAGAAACAAGACCTCCCATCGACCTCCATCGGGCCTACTGCAACCTCTATCTATCCCTAGCCGCCCTTGGTCTCACATTTCCATGGATTTTGTCACAGGCCTCCCAATCTCAAAAGGTAAAAGTGTGATTTTGACCATCATTGACCGCTTCTCCAAAGCATGCCACCTGATCGCACTCACCAAGCTTCCTTCTTCAATAGAAACAGCTAAACTTGTGTTTCACCACGTCTTTTGACTTCATGGTATCCCCACGGAGGTGGTCTCTGATCGGGGGCCTCAGTTCGTCTCACAAGTCTGGAGGGAGTTCTGTTTGATTCTAGGGGCTAAAGCTCGGCTGTCATCAGGGTTTCATCCACAAACAAACGGTCAGTGTGAACGTCTAAACCAAGAAGTCGAGAATGCCCTGCGTTGTATTTGTGCTTCAAACCCAGCCTCCTGGTCTACTCATTTACCCTGGATCGAGTATGCCCATAATTCCCATGTCTCCTCAGCTACTGGTCTTTCTCCCTTCGAAGCCTCCCTTGGTTACCAGCCCTCTCTTCTCCCCAATACCTTCCCTGATGTCAGAATTCCATCAGTTAAGGCCCATGTGCAAAACTGTCGCAGGATCTGGGCACAGGCCACAGCAGCCCTGCAGAGGACCTCAGCTCAGAACAAGAGGATTGCTGATAGGAAGCGCGTTGCAGCTCCCAAATTTTCTCCTGGTCAAATGGTCTGGCTTTCCTCTAAAGATTTTCCACTCAAGTCCTGTTCTAGGAAACTTTCTCCTAGATTTCTGGGTCCTTACCCTGTAGAAGCTGTCGTTGGCCCATCCTCTGTTCGCCTTAAGCTCCCTCATCACCTTCGAATCCATCCTGTTTTCCATGTCTCTTTACTGAAACCTTTCCTTTCTAGTCCTTTGTGCCCTCCTTCCGAGCCCCCTCCTCCCGCCCGGGTCATAGATGGTCACCCTGCCTACACCGTCCGCCGTATTGTGGATGTGCGCCCTCGTGGGCGGGGTCGGCAGTATCTTGTTGACTGGCAGGGCTACGGTCCTGAAGAGCGCTCTTGGGTCCCGCGCTCTTTCATCCTTGATCCTTCCCTTATAACAGATTTTGAGCGCCTTTCAGCTTCCTCTTCAACTGGTCGGCCGCCAGGTGGCGTCCCTTAGGGGGGGGGGGGGTACTGTCAGGTTTCCAGAGCTGGGTGGAGTGGCTGTATGTCTTTTCCCTTTTTTCTCTCCCAGGGTGGCAGGCTAATTGAGTCCAGCTGGGTTCCATTCCCTCAATCAGTGGTTGCCTTTAAGAAGGAGCAGTCTCCCTCAAGCAGACGGCAGATGGTTGATGTACTCAGAGTGGTAACAAGCCAACTTAAGAGAAATCTCAGCATTGTGTTTTTTCCCTCCTGTTGGATCTTCTCTGTTTAAGACCATATTGTCTTTCTCTGCTTCAGGATCCCTTCTGGCAAAGACTGTTGTTGGATCCACCTCCCCCAAGGCTGCTGTTCTGCTCCTTCCTCAGGCTCACCAACTTGGCCTTCAGAACCCCTGGCTCAAACCTGTCCACCCTCATCTCCTAACAAACTGAAAGACCAGTGTCTCCACTCCCAACCTCCAACATCTACCAACCAGCAAGACCGGGCTTCATGGACTCATACTCAGTGTAAGCTGACTTAAACTGCTTAAAACAATCTTTCTTAATCCATTCATCCCCTTTAAACAACTTGTGTTCCCTTCCAGTGCCTGCTCCCAGCCCCCGCTCCCTCAGCTTTTTCCAGACTCAGTTGTCATCACATTTTCCTGAAAATAAACTGTTTAAATCTGCTTCTTTCTGTTCTTGTGCCTACTTAAGAGTCCAAGAGCTAGCACTATGACACCAACAGCATAGTGGTGTAGGACAAAGGATTTGGTCTAATCTGACAAAAACACTCTTCCAATTGTTTCCTATGGCCCCATCATAGCTTGTTGTGTGGCTTTTATTAAGCAATACTTCTTGACGCTCTTCAAAATAGGCCAGAAAAAGATCTCTGCATCTCCTTCATTGTTATTATGGAGCTGTTGGCTGCTTCTCTGACTCTTTTCTCTGGCCTGTCCGTTTGGGTTGACAGCCATGTCTTGATAGGTTTGTAGTTAGTTTTTTTTCCATCCTGTTTTATTTTTATTTTCAGAAGATGGATTGAACATTGATTTTTGAGTTGTATGTATGCCGTGTCTGTATCCTTAAAGCTTTGGATCTTGTTTTATAACCCAACCCTGCTCTAAACATTAGCCCTTTCAACCATTGGTATTTGTGGTGATTTTTGTTTCTGAGAAAAACCTTTTGGGACCTCCTCAAAATAATTGTATTTATAGTTATATTAAACTATGATAAGCTCCCTTACAATTAATGTTTTATTTCCGTTTTTTGTTTGAAAACATTTTGGAAAGCTTGTCACTTTCCTTCGACTTCAAAATTATAAAAAAAAAAATTGATTTAATAAAAAGGGAAGAAGAAGTATTTTTGTTATTCTAGAGCAGGCATCCCCAAAGACAGTCCTCGAGGGCCGCTATCCTGCAGGTTTTAGAGGTTTCTCTGCTTTAGCACAGCTGATTCGGATAATTGCAGTTCAACAAAAGCCTGTTAGTCAACTATCAATGTAAATCAGCTGTGCTGGAGCAGTGAAACCTCTGAAACCTGCAGGACAGCGGCCCTCGAGGACAGACTTTGGGGATGCATGTTCTACAGGATACAACAGAATGTTGTTTGGCTGCATCGGTTTTGTTTGCAGCAGTTTGGAAATAGGATATGTTGATTATAAAAAGTCTGTGTAAATATTAGTGCACGCATTGCGTAGTAGTCTAATAATTGGAATAAGGTGGTAATAGTGTCTGTGCATGTGTCAGTTACTCACGGAACATTTAAATGCAAAGCAGAGACTTGTTTTAGCTGCCTGACAAAATAGGTTCAAGGATTATGCATTATACTCACAATTCAATGCTTGGAATTTTAGCCCTGAAAAATTGAGGTGCATAAAAGAAAAGCCAAATATTGCTCCAAGCATATTAGCCTTTGCACTAGAATATTTGAATTGTGATGGAGGTCACCTGTAATCAATGGTTGTTCTTGCTGATGGGATTGTAAATGTGCACAAACACTATTAAAAAGGAGATTGCTAACAGATATGAAAGGATCAAACACTAATGTGATGATGCTTATTGTAGAACAGCAGTTTGCTCACTGTGTCTAAATCTGGAGGGGTAACTAAAGAAAGGAGGAAGCTATGATTAATTACACACTGACTCTAAATCTATGCTCAGCAAGCACCGACTTACTCAGCATAAAAAATCTGATAAAAACGAACAAATACTAATGACCAAGGGATGTTTTATTCAAGTTGCAGAGGAGCAGATTGGTTGTTTAATTGATTCTTGAAAGCTTGAGTGTTTTTATACTCAAAATCCCACCTTAACCTTTTTTAAAATAGCAGCTTATCCAATTTTACTGCAGCCTTATTCCATACTTATTCACATAATCATTCATCCAACTTTTTTATCAAACTTTGTTTCACAAGAAAATATTGTAGAGCTAAAAAATGGAATGCTAACAGGTATTTTAATTGATGACTTGCCATAAAAAAAAATCCCTACATCTGCCAGTTATTTATTTACATAAGTTTAAATCTATAGAACAGAATAGAAATGCATAAATTACCGTCTAAAGCAGACGAATTGAATAACCATAAAGCCAATATACAAAATGGATTTTCTGTATGTAACACAGCAGTTCGTGTTTTCCTATTCAATCGATATACACTCACCGGCCACTTTATTAGGTACCCCATGCTAGTAACGGGTTGGACCCCCTTTTGCCTTCAGAACTGCCTCAATTCTTCGTGGCATAGATTTAACAAGGTGCTGGAAGCATTCCTCAGGGAGTTTGGTCCATATTGACATGATGGCATCACACAGTTGCCGCAGATTTGTCGGCTGCACATCCATGATGCGAATCTCCCGTTCCACCACATCCCAAAGATGCTCTATTGGATTGAGATCTGGTGACTGTGGAGGCCATTTGAGTACAGTGAACTCATTGTCATGTTCAAGAAACCAGTCTGAGACGATTCCAGCTTTATGACATGGCGCATTATCCTGCTGAAAGTAGCCATCAGAAGTTGGGTACATTGTGGTCATAAAGGGATGGACATGGTCAGCAACAATACTCAGGTAGGCTGTGGCGTTGCAACGATGCTCAATTGGTACCAAGGGGCCCAAAGAGTGCCAAGAAAATATTCCCCACACCATGACACCACCACCACCAGCCTGAACCGTTGATACAAGGCAGGATGGATCCATGCTTTCATGTTGTAGACGCCAAATTCTGACCCTACCATCCAAATGTCGCAGCAGAAATCGAGACTCATCAGACCAGGCAACGTTTTTCCAATCTTCTATTGTCCAATTTCGATGAGCTTGTGCAAATTGTAGCCTCGGTTTCCTGTTCTTAGCTGAAAGGAGTGGCACCCGGTGTGGTCTTCTGCTTCTGTAGCCCATCTGCCTCAAAGTTCGACGTCCTGTGCGTTCAGAGATGCTCTTCTGCCCACCTTGGTTGTAACGGGTGGTTATTTGAGTCACTGTTGCCCTTCTATCAGCTCGAACCAGTCTGGCCATTCTCCTCTGACCTCTGGCATCAACAAGGCATTTCCGCCCACAGAACTGCCGCTCACTAGGTGTTTTTTTCTTTTTTGGACCATTCTCTGTAAACCCTAGAGATGGTTGTGCGTGAAAATCCCAGTAGATCAGCAGTTTCTGAAATACTCAGACCAGCCCTTCTGGCACCAACAATCATGCCACGTTCAAAGTCACTCAAATCACCTTTCTTCCCCATACTGATGCTCGGTTTGAACTGCAGGAGATTGTCTTGACCATGTCTACATGCCTAAATGCACTGAGTTGCCGCCATGTGATTGGCTGCTTAGAAATTAAGTGTTAACGAGCAGTTGGACAGGTGTACCTAATAAAGTGGCCAGTGAGTGTAAAATAAAACTGATCTAAATTGTCAACTGGTATGAACGCAACATTAACCATACATAAAAACAGATTTTGAGTACATTCTACTTAGTCATAATGCAAAAGCCTAATATAAATAAATGACCGCTCCTTATAAAATATCAGTTAAGTAATAACGACAATTAAATATTTTTGTATCCTTAAAGGAATAGTAAACCCAAAACATGATTAGCCTTCATTTTCTACTCACCCCCATGCTGAACAACACTCTGGAGTACTTTTTTGATATCTCAAATGCATCTGTAGATCTGGGAGGCTTCTTGCTGTCTGCTGACATTCAAATAATGGAGGTCTTTGGTGCCCGAGACAGAAAGGTCCATAAAAGTCCACAAAAAACGTTTCAATATTCCTCCATACTGCTCGTCCAATGTATTCCAAGTGTCCTGAGTGGGTAGCATCCATAATTTACTCGAAACAAAGCCATTTAGAATGTTTTTAGAGCATAAACAGTAGTGTATAGGATTTCCTAAAGGCGCGTTCACGAGTCTACGGAAACCGCGGCAGACCAAACCAGATGAAAGTGTGCATTCAGCTCGGCAAAGAACTCATGCTCTTCCTCAACACTGACGTCCTCATACATTTTTCTTTCGTTGTTTCTTTCTTTGCACAGGTAAACAGCACATTTCTTCTTCTACGCTTGCATTATCGGCAGAGCAGACGCTGAATGCGCACTTTCATCTGGTTTGGTCTGCCGCGGTTTCCGTAGACTCGTGAACGAGCTTTTAGGAAATCCTATACACTACTGTTTATGCTCTAAAAACATTCTAAATGGCTTCGTTTCGAGTAAATGTTGGGATCCTCAGGCTTGCCCACCAGAGGGCGCCGAGGATCCTCTTCTGTTCTGTGTATTTTTCCCCTAGGGCTGGAATCTGCCTGCACACCTGTTGCTAATCCTCTCATCAGAAGACTTCTCCTTTATAAGCTCCTGCCTGACCTTGCTTCCACACGGCAGTGTTGATCTTAGTTGGTTAGCTTTCAGAGTCTCTGTCTTTGATTGAATCTTGGTTGTCTCTAGTGTGAGATTCAGATTCTAATCTCTCCATCGTCTGTGCCTCACAGGAAACCTGTCTCTGGTCTGAAGCTCAGGAAGAGCTGCCCCTCTGGAACCCTGTCTCTGGTCTGAAGCTCGGGAAGAGCTGCATCACAGGAAACCAGTCTCAAGCCTGAAGCTCTAGGTTGTGCTGTTCTCTGCTGTGAGCTGGAAGCTCAGCCAGAAGAATCCTTTGTGCTTATCCCCTGTTGTTCTCTGCTGTGAGCAGGAAGCTCAGATCAAGGCCAGCCATGCTAAGTATGACGCTAGATGCTTAGCTTGCTCATGAACTCTGCTAACCTACAATCTCCAGTACCAGTATATCTCCAGTGAACCTGCTCCTCTGTCTGAACCAGTTCCAGTTTCATCATTCATGTTGTGCTTCAATAAACTCTTTTGAACTTTTACCCAGTCTCTCCGTGTGTGTTCTGCATTTTGGGCTTAACTCTAGAACCCATCATGACAGTAAATTATGGACGCTACTCACTCAGGACACTTGGAATACATTGGACGAGCAGTATGGAGGAATATTGACACGTTTTTTGTGGACTTTTATGGACCTTTCTGTCTCGGGCGCCATAGACCTCCATTATTTAAATGTCAGCAGACAGCAAGAAGCCTCCCAGATCTCCAGATGCATTTGAGATATCAAAAAAGTACTCCAGAGTGTTGTTCAGCATGGGGGTGAGTAGAAAATGAAGGCTAATCATGTTTTGGGTGTTCTATTCCTTTAAGTTCTGTCTATAAAATAAAATGTACCGTCTCTGACTCCCGGCACAGTAGAGCATGACTGAGTTTAAGTATAATGTACAAAACCGATTATCAAAATGACTAAGTGTGTAACCAAACTTTCTTCTTCGTGGATCAAGAGTTTCCACAGAACACAGAGAAAGGCAGAGACAGAAATAATGAGGTGCAGAAAAATAAAGGGCCTCTAACCAACAGAAACAAATAGACAGTAATGTAAGAGAGAGCAGAAAAAAAAACTGATAGAAAGATGACAAATCTGGAGATGAAAAGGCAAATGACCTCTAGTTAAGCTGGAGATGGAGCTCCAAGGAGACAACAAAGGCAAGCAATAATCAAACCAAGAAACTGATAGAGAAGACACAGGAAGTAGTGGGAAGAAAGCATGATTTGACTCATCATCTGTCTTTGAATCAAAGTTAAATGTATGGACTTTTTTAACTTACTAAGCCAGAGCCACGTTAAAGCATGGGCTTTTAAGAAGATTCTTTTTATGAGATTCAATTCACCATTAAAGACCCACTATTATTGAATGTTCCTCAAATACAACTGAGTCTTAAAAAGTAATTATTAGTATATTTCTCCTTAAAACCAGCCACTTTTCATGTTTACTGTTTATTGTTAGTATGATGGGCTCGCTGGGCTGTTAGGGTTCAGACACTGGACACAGACATCTGTGTGGGAAGATGATAATATTTAGATACATAATTTAAACTTTCAGAGACATGCTTTTTAAAATCTGTTGCATTTATCTTTTATACATCAAACTATTTACTGAATTTTTCATTTCAGGACATTAAAAAGATCTAGAGGTTTTTTTTTCTTATGTAGCTGGTAACTTGGACTCCAGTTAAACTGTAAAACAAGTATTTTTATTTAATTTTAGTACTGAAACTATAGTAAAACGTGGTTGTTTCTGAGATACATTAAATGCAGTGTTATTAAGCAGCAGTGAAGCACTTTCAAGGCTGTACAGATCCTCTGTGAGGCCTTAGTGAAGAAAAATGTTTTTGATAGAACATTTAGGTTATAAAAAATATATTTCTTATGTATTTATAGAGTTTATAAAATAATGGAATGGATGAAATTCCTTTTTTATTTAAAAGCAGGTTAGTTGAAATTTCAGAATAATAAACCCTGGAACTGTAGTTTTGTTATCCTTGATCGTAAAATAAACTATTCTAACATGTTGCTCTTTAAAGTGGATGAGATTAAAGAAACATGGTAACATAATAATATACTAGGTTAAAATTACTATTTGCAGGTTAAAGCTTTACAAATTTAGAGATATAAAACTGTTCAAAGATACAGGTTTATTATTGCAACTTGGAATTTATTGACACAAAAAAACACATAAAGGAAAATACATTAAAAAAGCACAGAAATGAAAGGAGGAATATTGGCTCAGAGAGAAGAAGCTGGATGTGACGACGAAGTATTTCTGTGGTCAGCCGGGGTTTCTGGTGAGAGGTGTGCCAGATGGTGATTAGTCAGCATGGCAACCTGACAACCTCTGGTGTAATCCCATTCAAACCACACACACAGACACATCTGGCATGCACCCATTCTAGAAGAATCCATCCCTAACACATGCTGCAGCAAATGGACAACGTCAATCAAGGCTTAACTGGACACGGAGGTAGCAGAAAAGTAGACACAAAGCTTTAATCAGGACGCAAAGTGTGTCTTTTCTACACCATCCATTTAAAAGTTAATAAAAAGTCTCAACTATGTGAAGATTGATTGAAATGGAAATACACCTCATCACAAGAAATGCCATCACTGATAGATTCCAGCTCTCTGTCTGCAGATTAAATGCTCCACTATATTGAAATCAATGAAAATATGTCAGTATCTTTCAGTGTCTGTCAATAGACATTAGTACCTTGTCTGAAAAGCAGCAGCAACTTTCCTCTCTCTATCTCCAGACTCAGGGTGAGTCCTTCCCTTCCGTCCACCTGCAGCAGCGTGCCGGAGTTTTGGAGGGTTTTAAACTTCAATGTGATGACATGCGTCTGAGCTGGCCTTGATCCGGGGCTCAGTCGGTACACCAAACTGCTGCTGCCATCCAAATTCAACACATCAGAGGCTAAGATATAAAAGAAAACAGGGAGAATTCTGCATAATGGTATGCATAAAAGTAAGCAATGCATTTGAGATTTAAAAACAATTTGCATGTGTATGTTTTTGTTGCTTCACATTAGATTCAAACGTGAAATAAACACTTTTTAAGCTTAACAGAAAATATTTAAGTCTGCATAAATCTGTAGGTTTTTAGGGAGGTTTGAAGACCCTGAATAACACAAACACTAATCAACAGCCTCATTGGTGCAGCCATTACTTTTTGGGATCAATTTAGGAACTATTTAATAGCAATGCATTTTAAGGTCGCTTAATTGTTTATTATTTCCAGCAGCTTTTACCATTAAATCCATTAAAGAAAACAGTATCGGTCATTAGAAACGAGCGAGTTTAAAAGTGTATACAACTGATTCTATTAGCATGAAGCAGTGTGGGGATGGTTCCTTTGTTAAACTGCAGATCTAATGAGAGCAGTGAAGGATAGAGCACTCACTGTAAGGACAGCCATAAGTCTCAAGGCGCAGTCCGATCCGCCCGCTGGGATTCCAGTCCAGAGGAATGAGGCGAAGGAAGCGAGCCACGACAGGCTGCTGCAGTTTGTACTGAACCACACTGTCTGCATTATTGTTTCCTGGAAAAGACTTAAAATGCACAAGCAGAATATGTGAACGGAAAGTCAAATAATCAATACGGCTTTCAAAATGAAGGGTTCTATTGGATTATTCCTGTTTTAAAGGAAATACATGGTTTATTTCTTCCTTTTTTTAATCTGTCAAATAAAAACAACAGGATTCATATCTCTGGCATTATTCCAAGTTGGTTAATGATTGCCTGACCTCGCCTTTGTAACAACTCCTACATCAGAGGCTGATGGCAACTGAGGCAGCTGAGCTCTGAGATTTGCATAAAGGAGTCATAAAAAAAAAAAAAATAAAACTTATCCAGACATTGTTTTTTTGTTTTTTTTTCCAACTCAGTAAAAAAATAAATGTGAGAGTTCATCCTTTTTGGGATACCTCAAAGTTAGTTTGAAGTTTTTCTCCAAGCCTTATGGCTGATTTATACTCAGAAACCAGGTTGTCTGCATGTGTGTGTCGCAGTTAACAAAGATATAACCCCCTCCTTCTGCAGACACTCTGCTGCATCTCTCCAAAATTGTAGGTGACAGCAGACAGGAGGCCTCTGATTGGTCAAATCTACATCCACTCTACACTATGTGTATTTCCTTTTCGGTACCTTACCAGCTTGTTTTGTTGTTATGACCGTCATTGTGGAGAACAACCCGTGAAGGTGGACCAGCTAAAGAGCGAAGTGCGCAAGAACGCTGAAAACCTTTTTCCACCTGGATCCCCACTCTTTTTCTCCCTCATGTCCCTCCGTTGTCGCACAAACTTGCCCCTACTTCCTCACCGTTCCTGATTATTCTTCTTGCGTTGTGGCATGGAATAAAATAGCGCAGACCACGCTTCAATATTGGGCATAAATAAATAAAAAATATCTGCGACAAGCTCACTGCGACACACTGCTGCGGGAGGATAACCAGCACTTTATATGTGAAAGTGCTGCTGGTAATTTTAGAAGTGACTCCAAGGCAGCAGAGGTGTCAGGTCACGAAGTACAAATACTTCTTTACTGTACTTAAGTACACTTTTTAGGTATCTATACTTTACTCCATTACTTATTTTTCTTCCTACTTCTGTCTTCTACTCATTGCATCACACAAGTATCTGTACTTTCTATTTCTTACATTTTTAAAACAAACGTTACTCGTTACTCTTGGCTTCGATTTAATGCAGAGGTTGTGGATTAGCGGACTGTGGTCCACATCCGGAACCACTTGCTGGCTACTCTGGACCCAACCTGATCACATTTATAAATTACCACATGTTGTCTGACAGCAGTGCCTAAACGTCACTTGCACTGCTTCTCCTTCTACCGTGAAATCCCACATCCTCCCTCATTGCTCCGCCCCGCAGCGCTCCAGACCTCCTGCGGAAAGCAAAGCCTACAGCCTCCGCCGCTCCTCCCGTCTTGCTGCGCTCCATGACATATTAAAAAACTCCCCATTACCATATGTGCGGTTTCTGATGGAGATGAGAAATCTGCTTCCTGGTCTGTTAAAGTACCAATAGTTTGCACCCAATCTTTTTAATAAACGGTGTTAGTTTTATTGAAATATATAAGAATTATGCTCTAATTTGTAGTTACCGATCTGTTGTTACTATATTTTAATTTGACAAACTGGATCTTCGCGCCGTTCTTGTTCCTGTTTGGTGCGATTGCAATAGCGGATCTTGACCTGGCCGGGCCGTAGCGGAGCCTGAACATTTAGAGTATGTTTGGCTCAACCTGCTGCTGATTCTCCACCATGAACAGAATCAAAAATAAATCTGGATCCAGGCTCAAAATGAGCTCCTTGATATGTGCTTTAGAATGGCTTTGTCTCCATTCAAACCCAGGTTTAAAACCTTGCAGGGCAGCATAAAGCCACCTGCTCTCATTAAGACAGAAAAAAGAAACAAAAAATAACAAATTGTCAGTTTTTTTAAATTTACAAATTCAATGTATAACATGGATGCATAAATACCTCATTTTATTTCAGTGTTAATTTCTGTTAAAAGTTACAGGTCATTAAAAATGTCTCTGGACCTTTACTGCTTGATGATTTTCTTTATTTGGACCTGGCTGATTTTTAATTGGTTACCCCTGGTTTAATATTTCCAAAGTATTTATTTCACGTCATGTGCGTCATCTAATGCAGATCATTGGCTCCATCCACATCTAGTGAAAATTAGTGTCAGTGGATGAGCCATGTAACGCAAACACTCATTGGTTAGATAAAGGAAATCATCAGAAGCAAGCAGGTGTTCTTCAAACTGTAAACATGAATTGTCTATGCCATGCTACAATGTCGGATTAAGAAAAGATGTTAAAATGCCTGAAAGGTCGGACACAGGCGAGAGCGTATCGGGAGATGGAGACCAACAAGACCTCCCTCAGCCTTGGCCCTATCTCAAAGAATTTTTTGAAATAATTGAAGAATTGAGCTTTCTATTCATATAGTGGCATCTAGCTGTCTTTTTTAAAAGGTTACTTTAGACTTTTATACTTTAAGTAGTTTTTGGAGCACATACTTTTTCACTTTTGAAATGACGTCATCCTGGAAAGAAACATCAGCTGTGCTGCTTCCATCAACACCCTTGTTTATAGATGTTGGAGATCGGCCTGTTTTCCAGTGTGGTCCTGTTTCTCTGACTGTGACTGGCTGGATGTGCTCTCTTCGTCCTCTGGCATGGGAGCTGCCTTGGAGCTTGTCTGCCTGGCTGTGTGTTTCCTGGACGGGGCCGCCTTTTACAGCTGCTTTTTGTATCTCTGCTTCTGTCTCCTTGAACCCCAGTCGGCCTCGGCAGATGGCCGCTCACACTGAGCCTGGTTCTGCTGGAGGTTTCTTCCTGTTAAAAGGGAGTTTTTCCTCTCCACTGTCGCTACAAGCATGCTTAGTGTGAGGGATTGAATTTGAGTCAATAAATCGGTGCAATCAACTGGTTTTCATTAGATAGAAAACTTTGTATCAATTTGACTGTATGATCTGGTTGAACTGTAAAGTGCCTTGAGATGACATGTGTTGTGAATTTGGCGCTATATAAATAAACTGAATTGAATTGAATTGAATTTTACCTGAGTAAAGAGGTCAAGTTGATACTTCAACTTTTATCAGAGTGTTTTTAAACTGCAGTATCTTTACTTCTACTGTGTGTGTACAAATGTGTGTACTTTTGACATCACTGCAAGGCAGACAGCATCACTGCTGGAAGGAAAAAACTCAACTTCCCTGCAGCTGAGAGGGGCAGAGGTGCAGCAACACTGAGCCAGAAGTCAAGTGGTTCTGAGATGGTAGAGAACATGGTCTGACACTTTCCCCCCCAGTGCTGTTGAGCTGTGAAAACCTGACACTAACCCGATCTAAACTCCAAATCCATCTGTTCATACGTCCCTATTCTTTGCAAACACCTCTTTATTCTAACTTTAACCTGTTTGCTTTTTACAGTGTCTTTTGCTATTCTAAAAATGTGCTTTTAAATAAAGGTATTATTATAATTGTATAATATAGGGTGGTTATCAGATATCTATAAACTTCACTTTCCTTTCACTCTGAAATGAATATTAATAATCATAAAAAATGTATATTTTAAAAAAAGGGTTACGTCTTCTGAGAGACTGAATAACGTTATAGAACGGAGCGAGTCTAAACAGCTGCTATACGTCACATTTCTTCATCAGAAAACTTTTTCTTATCTGTAGAGGGATTTTAAATAATTTATTGTAGCCTTTTGTCAAATCCTTTTAAGTTTATCTTTGTTTTATGCTTTTTTTGTTTTTATTTTTGAATAATTAGTAAATATAACTTTTTTTAATCCACAACAGTCTTTTTGTAATTAAATGTTCTCAACTAAAGTGTAAATATGACTGATGCAGAATGGATTTTGATCAAAGAGAGATATTGAATATTTGCTACTTTGATTTTCTTATAAAAAATTGTTCAAAGGCAAAGAAAATGTATCAGATTTTAATAGATGTTTAAAAAAATTCTCAGAGGAATTTAGTCATTTATAATCAGGAAGTTCAAAACAGATAGCTATGCTACATAAGGGGTGTATCTTTTATGCTTCTCTAAATAGTGGTTTATTCATAATATGACCGAACCAGATGCAAAATAAATAAACCACAGAGGAAATTAGGAAATTTCAGTTGTAAAGTGAAGCAATCTACCTCAGCAGAAAAATGGGTGACGCTCTCTTTAACAGTACATCAATAATAATATAATAACATGGTAATTACACAGCAAGTCACATATTACTAGGTAACAAGAAAAACTTTATGGAGAACTTTAGTAATTGCTGTGCTTCAAATTTTAGGCAGGCAAGATAAAGTCAGACTTCTTAGATTTCAAACCATTATTACCAGATAACTCATATTCATTTCACTGATGACAATAAATTAATGTGTTATTATCTAGTAAAATGCAGTTTATTACTTGGCATATAACAGCAAACCAAACCTTAAAGACAACAAGCCAATGTTCTTGATTAAACTCTTATTTATATGTACCTGATGCTAAGTTCCAGTTTATTTTGTAAGCTGTTAATATGTGCCGGCCAATAATAGAAACTGTTATATGGTAACCTAATGGTAGTTACCCACCAAAAGTCTCCATAGTTACATAGTAACATAGAATTTTAATAATTACATGCAGGTAATTACTTTATTTTGAGGGTAATTACCAGATAAAGTTTTTCTTGTTTCAAAGTAATATAGTGTCACTTACTATGTTATTACCATGTTATAACATGGTAATTGATGTACTGTATAAGAAAACGTTACCCAAAATATACCTCTATTTTCTTCAGTTTACACTCTCTAAGCTCTAAATTCATAGGAATTCCAAAACTCTCTAAAATTTCTGGGATTGTTGAGGAGTTCATGCAGACTATTTAATCCACAGGAAGCCCTTCTCAGGTCTCTACGAGAGAAAAACTTTATCTCCAACTCTGATGATAATCCCCTCTCTACAACCCTCTAACCAACAGCCTTTTCACTCTGGTTAAACCTCCCACTTACACCTACTTTTAATAGTAAATCAGGGCTTCCCAACATGCTTGTTTGGGTAGTTTATGTTCTAAAGCAACTGCAGATATATTTAAACAGCTATAACAAACCGAGGATTCCTACAACTTGCTGTCTCATTAAGATCGAATCAAGAAGAGCTAAAGCCTCTACAACACATGTCAGATGCAAACAAATATCAAGTTAAGCAAACAGTCTAAAAAGGCTTTACAATTCATAAATGGCAGCATGAAAAAAAGACAAAGAAGAAATTTCACTCTGCCAAAACACAAATAGTAGTGAGAAAACAAATGGAGTTTCGGTCTAATACTTATTTCCTGTATGTGTAACAAAACTCTACCAAATATTTTTGGTAACCTCTGGCACATGCATATTAAATGAGCACCTGGAGATAATTTGCCAATATGTTTTTAATTAGCACATTTTTAAAAATGTATATACTTTTATATTTTATTCATAAGAACTAATAATCAAAAATTAAATCTAAGATAATAATAAAAAGGTTTAATATGATTAATTCTATCACCATATAAGTTTTAGTACAAATTGAACATGACACCATGTTTTAGAAGGCCAACCATGTAGATCGTGCTCATTGTGCGGTGGAGGTATTATTCCTTCTACTTATCTACATCATGTTTTCAGGTGACTTAATTTGCGTTTCTGACTCAATGAACACGAGCACAAAGCGCTTCAGCGCCGTTCTTTTCCATATAAACAACATGACACAAAGGCAGAACTTACCAATGGCTCAGCTCGCTTTCTGCAACCATCAATAGCAGCTTCAAGTGTTTTGGCAGCAGGTCAGTGGAGTCAGCAGAGCTCTTTCACTGGTTCATTCATTATTAATGAGGAGTCAAAGGCTCCTGATGACTGTGATAATTTGTTCAGGAAGGGCGGATCCCTGCTGACCAGAATAGTTAAACACCAAGTACTCTATAAATATCAGCCTAATATAATGGGACTATGAAATTAGCTGAAACTGATCTGAAGAATAAACATTTTAGCTAATATGTGAAGCAGGATTTATGTGCTTCATTTATTTATTTATTTACTTTTGTGTTTGGGAGGGGTCGTTGTTTACTTAAGACTATAAACTCTTATGAGCAGCTGAATTTTGAATTCTTGTTGATCATATTAGTAATATCTGTCTTTCTGTACGGACTCACCCCTATGCTGTCCTCTTGTCTGTACTGCTTCCAGTTGTGCCCCGTGTCGCTGAACATCAGCTGGTAAGATGTCAGCCAATCAGAGCTACCATAGCGGCCCTGTGTAGCAATAGCGGAAATTTTGGTCCTTTGGCCGAGATCCACCTCCAGCCACTGATAGCCGTCCGAGGTGAGGGGAGACCAGCCTCCAGCTCCTATAGAAAAAAAACCGAGTTATAGATTTCAGATTTCAAGCATTAAGGTAGAAACTAAAATGATATTTTAAATTACTTGTAGAATTGTGGAATTAAATAGCTTCTTTACATCCAGATTTTATTTTTTTCTAGAAATGAGCTCTGCAAATAAAGCATTTTTGATGGTTTATTTATTCTATACTTGTACAAATAAAGACATAACTTTTAAGATATTGCATCAAAAATATTCTCAGACATGATTTAATAATGTGAAATAATGATTACACACATAATTAAGGATGTTTTAAGACCACGTTTAGCATCAAACTTCTAAGTGGTTGTCTGTATGATTTTGTCAGTCTTGCACCATATCGAGCAATTTTGTACCAGACTTCTAGACATCGTTGTTTCAAGTCATGGAGATTTATATCAGCACTGGTCCTTTAAGATACCACATTTAAGTCAGACAGTGATCTGGGCTTTGAATGAACCACTGCAGAGTGCTAACATTTTGCTTTACAGACTTCAATTGCAGATTTCTTTCTGTTTGTTATCGTTGCAGCTACTTACTATACATGCTTGGTATGAGAGGTTGCTGCAAAGTCTATGACACAATGCAGTCAACTTTCCACCGTCTCCTCATGAAGTGTCATGATGGGTTTCAGAAAAGCCCAATATGCAGAACACCACGGAGACAGATGAAAAGTTTAACAATGTTTATTGAGACAAGCACATGGAATAAACACAGGAACTGGTTCAGGCCTGGGGGCAGGTTCACTGGAGTCTGTGAGGATGACAGTTCAGTTAGCTTAGGAGCAGATGAGTTTGAGTTTGAGAGTTTCTGAAGGATACCTTGAGGAATCCGGGTTTGGCTTTGAGAGAGGAACTGTTGGGTCCAGAGACTGTTTAGTTCAGCAGAGTCCAATAACCGCTTCAGCGTCTTACTTCTAGCTTGAGGGCAGACCTTGGTTTTTGGTTTCCAGCTCTTAGTCCAGAGCTGCATGGGAATCCAGAGAAGAGTCTTCAGGTTTGGCTCAGGCGTTGAGGCAAGGTCTGAAGGCCGGTTATAAAGGAGAGGATCCTCTGATGACGAGATGCGCCTCAGGTGTGTTGGAGGCTCAGCTCAGGAGGATCCACGGCGCACTCTGCTGGAGAAAGGTGGAACAGCTCCAGATCCCAACATGAAGTACGTTTGGCAAAAGCAATGACTTGATGTAATCAGATGGATTTTCTTTGATAGAAAGTTTTTAAGCAATGCTTCTGTATAATTTTTTTGAGTGACACTGGTGAACATGCAGGAAATGCACACTGAGATAGTGGACTCTTCTAAGCACCTAAGTGTTCACCTGAACAATAAACTGGACTGGACTCAAAACACTAAGGTTCAGTACATGAAGGGTCAGAGCAGACTCTTCCTGCTGAGGAGACTGAAGTCTTTTGGAGTGCAGGGGAATCTCCTAAAGACCTTCTATGACTCTCCATGGCGCTGTCTGATGGAGCAGTGGCTTATCTGTAGCTGAGAGAAAGCGGCTGGATAAGCTGATCAGGAAGGCCAGCTCTGTGACTCAGTGCAGGAGGTGGGAAACAAAAAGATCATCACTAAACATCTCTGTTGGATAATGTCTCCCACCCCCTGCATGAAGCTGTTCTTAAACTTCAGAGCTCCTTCAGTGACAGACTGCTGCACCCTAAATGCACCAGGAAACGTTATCACAGATCCTTCCTCCCAGCAGCTGGAAGACTTTATAACCACCATTGTTCCCAACAACCTCAACAAGTTGTTACATTCATTCTGATTTTTGCATAGTTTCTGTCTTGGGCACTTAAATAACATGCTGCTGTCATTTTTCATATCTCTGATGTTGCTGCCATTTTCCAACATCCACTACTGTAAAAATGTCCACAACAGAATACTGATAATTTATTCTTCAGGTGAAAGCAAAGTATTTATATATCTAAAAACATTGAACAATACATAATCTGATGTTATTTTTTTTTCTCGGCCACTTATTTTGTTGTTTTTATACACAATCACTGTAAAAACGAAAAAGTTACTTCAACTCAAAATTTCAAGGCAACCGGCTGCACAGAATTTTTTGATTTGAAGGCATCAACTTAATTTTTTAAGTTTTGTAGAATTACACTTATTAAGTTGTGTCAGCTAAGCTTTTCAAGTTCTGCCAACTAAGTTTTTTTAATTCAAGTTACTGGAACTTTCAAGTCTGTAAAAACTTATTATTTTAAATTCAGATTATCTGTAAAATGTTATTTTAAATTCAGATTACCATCCCCTTTAATAACTTACATTTTTGAGTTCAGTCCCCCCCCCCCATTAAATCATCCACTGACAGTAAACCATCCATCCATTTTCTTACACACTTGTCCCAAGTGGGGCAGGGTCCACCCTGGAAAGGTCACCAGACACACAGGACTAACAACCATTCATGCACACACTCAACAATTTAGATGTTTTTGGACAAGGCCAGAGTACCCAGAGAGAACCCACACATGCTCAGGGAGAACACGCAAACTCCATGCAGAAAAACCCCAGGCAGGAATCGAACCCAGAACCTTCTTGCTGCAAGGCAGCAGTGCTACCCACTGCGCCACCGAGCAGCCCTGACAGTAATCCAGTTAAATTTTGCATTTTTAGTTGAACCACTTTGGCAAAAAGAGGTTTACAATTTCACAATGTAAACAAGTAATCTTATGCTTAAAGCAAATCAGGTTTCAGCACATATTTTTTTTACTTTCCAACTCCTGTTAAAACCTTACAAATAACGCAATATTGCCAGAGATGACAGGAAACTAGTGCCTTAGTCTTCTCTTGGACGAGTGACCAGATGGCTGAACCAAACTTTAGAAGGGAGCTCCTGGGAAAATCCATGGAAACCCTGTAGCAGCCGGTTGCCATGACAAATTTGAAATGAGCATGCGCAGATAAGTTGACCTCGCTCGGACTGGGTGTCAACTACAACTTCAAAGTAAACTCAACTTAATTTATTGAATAAGATGAACTTTTCATCAGAAACTTATGAAAGTGAGTTCAACTGGCTCACAAAAGACAGTTCAAGTTCCAACTGGCAATTTTATTGTCAGTGAATGCAAAAATCTTAGTAAGGTGAACAATTTTGAGTTGTCGTTTTTACAGTGATTAAGGTCAAATTCTGTGTGACCATTTTTGCTGCAATGCTGCTATAACACAACAATTTCCACACAATAAATCCCTAATAAAGGGATTTTCTATTCTATTCTATTCTATTCTAATTTCACAGCACTGAGAGTTAAATGACTTAAGATGACATGCTGTTCAATGCCAAGATATTAATAAACTAACTTGATCTGAAATTGACAGTAGAAAAGTTTGGCTCTGGTAATAGTCAGCACCACGATTCCAAGCTACCCAGGTGTGCAGCTACAAAACAAGCCTAAATCATTTCATTACCACCCTGCTGCACAGTAACAGTATTGAACATTACAGCCAAATTTCTCTACTTAGATCCCATCTATCCAAAGGGCATTTTTTCAGAGGACTTTTGAGTTATTCAAATGTAACCGTGCAAATACAAATAATGAAATAGTTAAATTTTTAGAGACATTTTCTTTTGGTAACCTTTTTAATCAATCCATACTATTTTTGGCATGCAATTTAGCACACAAGATGCAATTTTCTAGGCATTTCTTTCAAAATGGCACAATAAACTCTTGGACTTTATTTGCTAAGACATCTCTTTTTGGACAATTGACAACCATCTGAACCGTTGTGCGATTAGAAATAGTCTAACTGTGTAGTGAGAATGTCAGTATTGTTTAAAAATATCCTTATATTCTTTTCCAGATTGACAGGAACAATTTCCTCTTAAAGGTAATTGCTTGTTTATTTTCAAATTGTGTTCACAAACATCTGTATGCTCCAAAACAGCAATGTGCCAAAACCTACAAAATTTATAAAGGCGCTCATATGGATGGCAATCGATTAGTTGTGAAACTCTAATGAAGACTATAGCATTGCAGTAGCATGAAAAGAAATCCCAAACTCATAATAGCTAATAATCTGTAGGCACAAACAATTTTCCAACAAACTAAAATGTTTTATAAACCTTTTTATAATAAACGTGTAATAATAGTTTTTTAATGTACAGTGAGTTTAAAGCAAGGCAGGTTTATTTGCATAGCAACATTCATACAGTCAAAGTGAACTTATAGGAGGCCAACAGGGAAATACGATGACATCACAAAGAGGAAATATAATAATACAGAAGTTTCAGAACTTTATTTTTGCTTTTTATTTATGGCCTTTAGCCACTGCATGCTGAATTTGCATCTTATATAAGGAAGAATTCCCCAAACTAACCATAACCTATAGTAGTCTAAATGGTAACATATTGAATAGTAGCAACAAATGTCAAACTGCATTCATGCCTCCCCTGATAAGGCTTTGCTGAGAAGCTGCAGAGGGGTATATTGATTGGTGTTACAACTTTTCTGCAAGATTGGTTCATTTACCATTTCAAATATCATCCATATAGGGTTTTAATGTCAAGCTTTGATTGGTTTCACAGCAAATATAAAGCGTTCTTTTCTCTACTGAAAATCACTCATAAAAAATAATAGTCTTTACATCTTTCTGAATAAAGATGTAAAAATGTAAGTACTGCGAGTTAAACAATTTATTTAGTTTTCAATGTTCATATATTTAACCATATCAAACTAAAGATTAACCAAGACTATAGCTGTCTTTATCTTATATATGTTATCAAACTATAAACAATCAATAAAAGCATAACTCCTTACTTATTTTTGATTGAAGGCGCTGTTTTTAACACCAGATAAAACAGAGTAACTGATCTTCGTCCAACTTGCATAGAAATAAGATAAACACACAGTTATGTTAATATGAATAGGGGCATAACAAAATATTATATTAAAACTGTTCTTGAAACATTTCATCGTCCTTAAGATTACAGCCTGCCTGACGTCTCACAAGGTGCTCTCCATTTGCTGTCACTGCAGGATTTTGT